GGAATCCAAACCCGAGTACCCCTGGACCCGAAGTTACCCCGGATAACTCGGGCGTCCAGAGCCCCGAATCATCAGGGGTAACTCGGGTCAAGGATAACTCGGGTTCGTTTTTCGGGAATCCAAACCCAAGTTACCCCGGGCCCGAGTCACCCCGGATAACTCGGGCGTCCAGAGCCCCGAATCACCGAGGGCAATTCGGGTCAGGGATAACTCGGGTTCGTTTTTCGGGAATCCAAACCCGAGTTACCCCGGGCCCGAGTTACCCCGGATAACTCGGGCGTCCAGAGCCCCGAATCACCAGGGGTAACTCGGGTCAGGGATAACTCGGGTTCTTTGTCGGGAATCCAAAAACCAGAGTTCACCACGGGCGAGTTACCCCGGATGACTCGGGCGTCCAGAGCCCCGAATCATCAGGGGTAACTCGGGTCAGGGCTAACTCGGGTTCCTTTTTCGGGAATCCAAACCGGAGTTACCCCGGGCCCGAGCTACCCCGGATAACTCGGGCGCCCAGAGCCCCGAATGATCAGGGGTAATTGGGGTCAGGGCTCACTCGGGTTCCTTTTCCGGGAATCCAAACCCGAGTTACCCCGGGCCCGAGTTGCCCCGGATGTTTCGGGCGTCCAGAGCCCCGAATCATCAGGGGTAACTCGGGCCAGGGCTAACTCGGGTTCGTTTTTTTCGGAAGAAATCCAAAACCCGAGTTACCCAGGGCCCGAGTTACCCCCGGATCAAAATTCGGGCGTCCCGGCCCCGAATCACAGGGGTAACTCGGGTCAGGGATAACTCGGGTTCGTTTTTCGGGAATCCAAACCCGAGTTACCCCTGGCCCGAGTTACCCCGGATAACTCGGGCGTCCAGAGCCCCGAATCACAAGGGGTAGCTCGGGTCAGGGATAACTCGGGTTCGTTTTTCGTGAATCCAAACCCGAGTTACCCCAGACCCGAGTTACCCCGGATAACTCGGGCGTCCAGAGCCCCGAAACACCAGGGGTAACTCGGGTCAGGGATAACTCGGGTTCGTTTTTCGGGAATCCAAACCCGAGTTACCCCTGGCCCGAGTTACCCCGGATAACTCGGGCGTCCAGAGCCCCGAATCACCAGGGGTAACTCGGATCAGGGATAACTCGGGTTCGTTTTTCGGGAATCCAAACCCGAGTTACCCCTGGCCCGAGTTACCCCGGATAACTCGGGCGTCCAGAGCCCCGAATCACCAGGGGTAACTCGGGTCAGGGATAACTCGGGTTCGTTTTTCGGGAATCCAAGCCCGAGTTACCCCGGACCCGAGTTACCCTGGATAACTCGGGCGTCCAGAGCCCCGAATCATCAGGGGTAACTCGGGTCAGGGATACTCGGGTTCGTTTTTCGGGAATCCAAACCCGAGTTACCCCGGACCCGAGTTACCCCGGATAACTCGGGCGTCCAGAGCCCCGAATCATCAGGGGTAACTCGGGTCAGGGATAACTCGGGTTCGTTTTTCGGGAATCCAAACCCGAGTTACCCCGGACCCGAGTTACCCCGGATAACTCGGGCGTCCAGAGCCCCGAATCACAGGGGTAACTCGGGTCAGGGATAACTCGGGTTCGTTTTTCGGGAATCCAAGCCCGAGTTACCCCGGACCCGAGTTACCCCGGATAACTCGGGCGTCCAGAGCCCCGAACCACCAGGGGTAACTCGGGTCAGGGATAACTCGGGTTCGTTTTTCGGGAATCCAAACCCGAGTTACCCCGGACCCGAGTTACCCCGGATAACTCGGGCGTCCAGAGCCCCGAATCATCCGGGTCAGGGGTTCGTTTTTCGGGAATCTCGAGCCCCGAATCATCAGGGGTAACTCGGGTCAGGGATAACTCGGGTTCGTTTTTCGGGAACCCAAACCCGAGTTACCCCGGACCCGAGTAACCCCGGATAACTCGGGCGCCCAACGAGATGGGTACGGAAAGAATGGGTACAATGCTCAACAACAAATGGTGTCCCAAACCAACAGCGGCCGCTGTTGGGCAGACGGCCTTCTGTCTGAAATGGACACAGGCCGCAGCGACACCGACAGCGAGTCCTGTTCAGATTGAACAGGAACTGCTGTTTGGCATAGTGCCCATTCTTTCCGTACCCATTTCGGGCGTCCAAAAAGAAGGTTGGCAAGGTGTTTTGGTTCCGGGTTTTTCGATGCCGCCGACCGTCGGAGGGAGCCCTGGCCAGCCGTGGGGAGGCCATCTTGCCTTCCGAGTATATAATGAATAAGCCTTTTTGGGGAGGGGGCTCCACTGGCTTACAAACCTTGGATTCCTTATCCAACGGCTCCTCCTCCAATGGGCTCGGAGGAGCACTCTGCATTGCCGATGCATCGGTGATGCGCGGCTCGATTTGGAGCTTGATTGTGAATGCCTTGCAGTTGATGCCGCCGACCCTTCAAGACGACGACGACTAACAGAGAGCTGATGACCCTGCCACAGGCTCTGGACATGGGGGCGGGCGGTGGAGGGAGCATCCTCGGTCGGTCAATGCTTGGCCACGTTCCATGGCCCGTCCCGCTCGAAGAGCTTCGGCATGCGCGTCCAAGGCCCTCGACTCCTCCTCGCGCAGGATCGCTGTCGGTTATGACTGCACTCGGACCCCATCGAGGAAGCCTCCAGCCATCCGCGCCGGCTGCAGCTGCCGATGTGCGGGACAGGAAAATGACCACAGCCACTGCTTCTTGTTTGCGCAGCCTTCCAGCCGGCCGAAAAGAAGCAGTGGTTGTGGTCACTTCCCTGGTGCCAAGCTCAACGAAACTGACCACAACCACTGCTTTGTTTCTGCGGGCTGGAAGGCGGCAACAAAAGAAAAGCAGTGGCTGTGGTCGTTTCGACGCCCCGTACGATGCTCAGAGGGCCGCCCCGCCCTCGGCTCCCAGCGCGCCCCTGCCTCGCGCGCGCTGCCGGCGGTGCACGACCTCGCCGCCGACGGCGGCGCCCCGGGTGCCGCCGCCGAGGCTCTGCGGGGGCCCAGGGGCCAGGGGTGAAGCAGCGGCGAATCGTCCCGGCTCGCCTACAGCCCCACCAAACCATGTTCTAAGAACCTTTTGTGGTTGCCACGAAATATTCTTAGAGCATGTCTGGCTGGGACTGTCTTGTTTCAACACATCGGGCTTATGTCCTAAGAACATTGTTTTTGTTCTGAGAACATTTTTGGGTTCAAAGAAATCTCGTGGTAGGACTCGGTCCCTGTTCAACAGGGGCGGACAGACGCGCGGAGGCTGCCAGCGAAAACCGGAGTCAGCGCGCCCAGCAAGGACGCGCGCCTCCATCCAGGGTCTTGGCATCGCTCGGACGTGTGCATTTTTTTCTCTGCGAGAGCTACCGAGGACCATCCTGGACCATCGAGCAAAAAAACACACGCACGAGACCGAGAAACGCACGGGAAGTGGACGTCCGAGCGATGGCAAGGGGTGCCCTTCTGTCCCTGACTCCGCGGCCGTCCTTTGCCGCTTGCATGGGTCGCCCGCCGCCCAAGAAATGTCGCCAATTCGGCCTCCAAGGGTCTTGCGTGTACCACCCGTCCGTGCGGAGTACACGTTTTGATTGTGATGGAGAACGGCCTGGTGGGCGAAATTCACATATCAGGGGCAAGGACGGGAGGGGATGGGCATAGGGAGGGATGCATCGGCCCCCAATCCCCGTCGATTCGGGGGTGGACAGAACCCCCAACAGTGACACGTCGATTAGTGAATTGTCCGTTTTCTGTTCTCGAGAGGGCGCCGTGGCCGTTATTTTCCAGGCTTGCGCCCGCCAGGTTTGGGCCTCAGGTCGTCTTCACTAAACCACGTTTTACTAAAGGGGGGTCTGTCCATCCCCGATCGATCGCCGACAGGGGCCCGATAGCCCCAACCTGCCCGGGAACGTGCAGATTCCTTGTCGGGGGCCTAGCACCGATCTTTCGGCGACGTGTCGACGACTCCAGGTCGATGGGTCCTCCCCGTTGGCACTACCCCTCTATCGCTGCCCCTCAGTGCACACAGAAGTTCCCACACTTTGTCCTACGCCGGGCGAGGTCTCCTCCGTGCGCGCGCCGTCCTAAGCGGATTTCGGATTCCCCGCCGGCTGGGGATCCGAGGTGACCCAGAATCGGTTCTGGCGATTAGGGATGGGAGGCGATGCTCGAGGTTCTGGGTTCGATGTTATTGGCTTCGATGGTTTTGATGTTCTGGTTTTTATGTTCTTGATATTTCGATGTGTTGGGGTTCTGTTCTGGGCCCATCATGTTCTGGGTTCGAACTGGGCTTTTGATGTCTGTTCGTCATTTTCAGGCCCTGCGGACCGTCAAGAACGGATCCGAGGTGCAACCCCGCATCGGCTGGACCCTGGGAGGGGTCCAGGGAGACAGCTTACCGAATTTGGTCTCGTCTCCCCGTCTTGGCCGATTTCCTCGGGGCCCAGCCAGCTCAGACTCCCTGGCCGCCTTCAACGAGGGGCAACGATATGGGGGGACTGGCTATGAGGTGAGGAAACATCGACCCCGCATCGGCGATGCATTGCTGATAGATCGGCGATAGGCCCCCGCCAGCGAATTCGCACTTCCCCGGGGCTATCAGATGCCTGTCGGCGCGATCAACAGGCGATTGGGGGTCGATGCGTTCCCTACTGAGCCTATCCCCCCCTATCGATACCCCTGAGGATCGGGACGAACCTCTCCAGCGCACTCGAGAACGCCCTCAGAGCGTCCCAGAGCGCTCCCGAGCCGCCGCGGCGCCCGAAGTTCCAGGAACGAACAACGGCATAATCATAATTTCACGGAGGTCCACAGCTCACACGAGGTACAGTCGGAGCGCTGAAGAAGAAACCCTCTTCGTTTGGGGGGGGCTCGGTGTTCCTTTCCTGTTTTTCAGTTTGCTTGAGGTTGTGCTGAGATTATCAACGGGAATTTCAAGTTTAACGTATGGGAAGACTGGGCCTCATTCCTTATTAAGGGTTCTTCAGGTCAAGCTGCCCCGGTTCGATGCTTCCATGGTTCGATGCTGTCCAGGCGCGGCTGCGGCTTCTCCTCCTCCAACTCCTCCAACTCCTCCTCCTGCTGCTCCTGCTCCTCCTCCTCCTCCTCCTCCTCCTCCTCTCCTTCTCCTCCTCCTCCTCCTCCTCCTCCTCCTCCTCCTCCTCATCCTCCCCCTCCACAATTACTCAATATGAAAATACTCTCCCTCTTCCCCTGATGGCGGTTGGGTGATCGCCGACCCCCCCCCCCCGCGTATTGTTTTTTTACACACCGGATTCCCGGGAAACGGGTTTTCGCCTGCGTTTTTTTCCACAATGCTGCTCTCGCTGAGGCGTTGGCCTCATTTCTGCTCCCGAATCGTTCCGAATCGTGCTCCCGCTGCAGCGTGGGCCTCATTTTCGGATCGGTGTTTGGCCTCCGTCGTTCAGGATGGCGTTCTCGCCCCAGCGCGGGCCTCTTTCTCGCGCGCCCATCCGCCCGCCACCACTGCGCCGCACCACCACCACCACCACCACCACCACCACCACCACCACCACCACCACCACCACCACCACCACCACCACCACCACCACCACCATCCACCCACACCACACCACACCACCACCACCACCACCACCACCACCACCACCCACCACCACCACCACCACCACCACCACCACCACCACACACCACGCACACACGCACGCACGCACGCACGTGCACCACCACCCACTACGCACGCGCGCGCGGAGCCACAGGTCCGCTACGACACGCGTCCGCGGATAGAGAAAATCAGCGCCATGGTAAGGGATGGGAGGGAGGGGTAGGACGTCAGATATGACGCGAGCGCACCTAGCTTGTTCCTCCCCCCCCCCCCTCCTCCTCCTCCTCCTCCTCCAACTCCTGCTTAGGCCCTGGCCGCGCGGCTGCGGCTGCCGCTGCTGGCCTGCAGCGCGCGCACTGGTGGTGGCGTCGGGGAGGCTCGCCACTACCCAAGAAGACCTATACGAGATGCCCGTCTGCCACGCAAGAGCGGCACGCACGCTCGGACACAGTCTTCAATCGCTTCGCTCGTTCCGCTGGCCCGTGCTGTGCAGGCGCAGGCGGTTGCCTGCGCGTTCGTGACCTCTTGGGGCCTCTTGGGGGCCGTCGAGGGGCGTGGGGCCTCCAGGGGGCCCTCCCTGGGCACTCTGTGGGGCCTCTTGGGGCGTCCGGGGGGGTTCTTGGGGCGGAAGGCTCGAATTTGTAGGTCGTACTTCCCCTCTTTGCCTTTCTTGGGGCCGTCTCAGGGCCCTCTTGGGCGATCTTGGGCGCCTCTGGGGCCGTTTGTTTGGGGGCTCTTTTGGGCCGTCTTGGGACCCTCTTGAGGGCCTCTCGGGCCGTCGGGGGGCGGTCGGGTGGGCCTCTGACGCCATCGTAGGGCGGCGGAGGCCCGAAAACGCGAGAGCGCGAAAACATTGGAAGCCACAAGGGATATTCATCATGTTTGCTTCTTTTGGTCCTCGTCGGGGTCCTCTTCGGGGTCCTCTTGGAGCGTTCCTGGGGCTTCTTCAGGGCCCATTGGGCCGTCTTGGGGCCATCTTGAGCGTCTTGGAGCGCTCTTTGGCTGTGATTCCGACTCGCGGGCCGTTTTTGAGCTGCCTTCAGGTTCCTTGGGCCGTTCCCGGGAGTTCTGGCATCCTCGAGCGGACCTTGCCATGAGCTTGCTGGGACCTTGCCAGGAGTCGGCTGGGGTACTTTTCGTCTGGCCTTTTCCAGGGGCCGCCCCAAGCGCGAAAATTATAATATCTCTCTTTTTCTATATGTATGTACGTATGTATATATATATACTTATGTATATGTGTACACACGCATACACATATTCGGAAAACCAGTTGAGAGCTTAGCACGCCTCTGGCCCGTCGGGCCGGCGAATGGCATAAGCTTCGTGGCGGGCGGTTTCTGACCACACCGTTCGAGAAACGATGTACCACAAGATGCTGGTGCTATACATGTTCGGTGCGGAAGTGCGCCTCCCAGCGGGGCGTACAGTATCAGTGTGTCCTTCTGCGCCCCTGCCGGCGCCGGCGCCGGGGCGGCTTTCGGTCGCCTGCTGGGATCGCCGCGGGCTTGTTACGTGGCTATAGTTGGGTCAGAAGCGGATGCCAAGGCAGGTTACATTTGGCCCAGCCCGGCTTGTAAGTGAGGATTTGTGCCCCAAGGGGCTGTGGGGTGACATACCTCCGCTGAGTGTGCGAAGCGCGCTTGGCCTACACTTCGCCACACAGGGCACTTGCAACCCGCCAGGTATAATCACCTCGGCATCCGCGTAGAACCCCCCCTATCCATTCAGCACCCCCCGCGGTGATCCCAGTAGAATGTCCTTGCCGCCGCCGGCGTCGGGGAGGCGTTCGGGCGCCTGGGAGAGCTGCTGCTGGCGGAGCCAGGGGGGGAGAACAGACACAGACACCAAGGAACGTCGATGCTCAGGAAGGGATCTGGGAAACTAACTGTGGAGGGGAGGGGAAGGAAAGAATCCAGAACATGTGGAATGATAGTGGGAACCTGGCATGTCAGGCGAAGCGAGCTAAGCACATGTATCGGTTCTGGCCAGGCTCATCTTGGGCCCAGGATCGGTGCATAATGCCTTCCAGGCATTGGCCAGGAAGGTATGGTCACCGATTCTGGGCCCAAGATGGGCCTGGCCAGAGTCGGTGTATGTGCATAGGTCTCTTGCTTTTCGAATTGAAAGCATTATGTTTCCCTGGGCCCCTTTGAGAGCTGCCCCTGGTGGAGCCAGGAGGGGAAACGAGACACCGACACCCATGAAGCCATTTCTTTATTGCTTGGGGCATGACGGGCGTCATGGCCCCCGCTCACCCCCCCTATGACGTAACGCTCCCCCCCCCCCCAGTGCGCTCCGGGCACTGCCGCCGTGCGCATTGGGATCCGCGTAGGCGTCCGCGTAGGAATCCGCATAGGTGTCTGGTCCGCAGGCGTCGTCGTCGTCGTCGTCGTCGTCGTTCGTCGTCGTCGCTCGTGGTTCGTCGCTCGTCGCTCATCGTCGTCGTGCGCGCGGACGCGGCTGGAGCCTATTCTTAAGTCCGCGCCGATGACGGCAATCATCTGCGGGGGGAGGAGGTCGATGACGTCACGTTTTGCGCTGGCGGCGTTTGGAAATGGTTAGGAATGACGGAGGACGGGTAGCACGAACATGTAGGTGGCGATATGCACCACAACGCCTGTGTACATCACAGTGCCTGCGTGCACCACAGCGCTTGTGTACACCACACCGCCGATGTACACCACAGCAGCCGCGTGCAACACAGCGTCAGTTTGTGCCACAGTGCCTGCGGGCACAGCAGCTCCTGTGTACACCACAGCGCCTCCGTACACCACATCAGCCGTGCGCAACACAGCACCAGTGTACACCACAATGCCTGCGTGCATTGCAGTGCCTGTGTACGCCACGGCGCCTGCGTGCACCACCTCAGCCGTGTGCAACACAGCACCATTGTTGTGTATAGAATTTCAGAAGTAATCCTTCTGACAAAATGGAGCGCGTTTGGATTCCAGAGAAAACAATGGAAACAAATCCTCATGGACTGAGGAGCGCCGCTGGAATCTACGCGTCCCCCCGAGTCCGCCCGCATCACCCTAACTCCCACTTGCGTCCAGGAGGCTCAAGCTAAACTGGCCGTCCGAGAACCGACTGGACCGATTCCATCGACCATTCTGCGGTGCACGCTGAGATGCGCACGTGCGTTGTAACGCCAAGCCGCACGACAGGGGGTAAGAAGGAGGAAAAAGAGGAGGAGGAGGAGGAGGAGGAGGAGGAGGTGGTGGTGGAGGAGGAGGGAAAAGGGAAAAACGTCGCATCCGATTATCAGAACTTAGCTGGCGTGGCGTTTAGTTGCCCGCATCAGATCCTGACGTACATGCTCCTTTTACTTGTCCTATGCACGCAGGCACTGTGGTGTACACCAGCGCTGCGTTGCACGCGGATGCTGTGGTGTAGACAGGCGCTGTGGAGTGAACGGGAGATGGAGTGCACGCAAGCACTGTGGTGTACACGCGCGTTGTGTTGCACATGGCTGCTGCGGTGTATGTACACCGGCGATGTAGTGCTCCCAAGTATTGTGGTATACGCGGGCGGTGCGTTGCACACGGCTGTTGCGGTGTACGCAGGCGCTGAGGTACACACGCGCGGCGTGGTGCACGCGAGCGTTGTGGAGCACACAGGCGCAATGGGCAGATCGCCAGTTACATGCTGCTCGCGTCGTCGTCGTCGCTCGTCGCTCGTCGCTCGTCGCGTCGTGCGCGCGGGCGCGGCTGTGGTGCCGGAGCCACACGGCGGGGGGGGGGCGTCACGTCATACCCCCCCTCGCCCTCCCCCCCCCATGACGCCCGTCATCGCCGAACATAAAGAAACGCCTTCCATGAACGTCGATGCCCAGGAAGAGATCTAGGAAACTCTGGGGAGGGAGGGGGAGGCACAAATCCAGAACATGGAGCCCTGAAACAACTGCGTAAACATAAACTTTTGGCGCTCCGCGCGGATTCCTTGGATCCGCGCTGGGGCCTCCGGGCGGCGCCTTCGGCGCCGCCCATGGCGCGCTCTGCGTGCCGGGGAGGGGGGTCCAAGCCAGATCCAAGAAATCCGCTTAGACCTCCAAAGGCTTCTGTTTGTGAAGTTTGTTTTTCCTCTGTTGCAGCATTCTGTCCTTTTGTTTAAGCATTTTCCCCTGTTGCAGCACTTTCCCTGTCGAAGCATTTCTGCTTACAGTCGGCCCGGATTAGTAGGTCGACCCTGCCAAATCAAGGGTACCCTTGCGTCCTCTGTCTCGCAACCCCTGCCTCCTGCATTCCTGTGGCAGTGTGGCCCTCGGAAGGGTCTTGTGTCCCCTCGCGCGTCCGGTCCGATGTTGTCCGACTGTATGTGGCTGCTTCTTCCTCTGTTGAAGCATGTCTCTTTATGCTCCTGTGCAAGGCGAAGGCGTTCCTTGGCAAGCACGCCGTTTTCGGCACCGCCTTGGTCCCGAGGCCTTTGCCTCCTCCTGGCCTTGCCGTGTGGCCGCGCTCCTTCTGCCCCCCTCCCTCTCTGTCATTTCAAGCTTCGCGCGGCCCGCGTAGCCTAGACCGGAAGAGGTGCGCTCTCGACCCGCGAATCAAAAAAAAGTTTACAGTCGCGGCCCTGAAGAAGGAACCCTTTTGGTTGGGGAGGGGCTCCGCGTTCCTGAAGTGTTTCACAGCTTGCCTCAGGTTTCCCTTATGTTTTCGATCGGAAATCGAAGTTGAACGTATGGACAAAAAGTGGCCTCGTTCCTTGTTTAGGGTTCCTTAGGTCAACGCCCCGACTGTACGCAGCTTTTGTTCTTCCCCTGCGACCGCACCTCTGCCGCTCTGGGCCCCCCTGGAGGAGGAGGGCGCCTCCGCCGCCCAGGGCGGCGCCCTCGGCGCGGGCGCCGCGGGCGCCGCGGGCGCCTCCCGCGACGGGCCCGCGGCGCCGCCCCGCGGCGGCGGTGCTGCCTGGGCGTAAGTCTGGCCTGTCCCTCGGCAGGAGGAATCTTTTGAAAAAAAATCAAAAAATGCCCTGCGTACGATGTTCTACTATTCAGGGGCATTTGTGGGGTATGTTATCATGTTTCGCCCAAGATCCCCCTGTAGGGGGACAGGCTGAAGTCTGGCCTGTCCCTCTACAGGAGCAGGAGGAATATTCAAAAATAGTGAAAGCAATACTCTGGGGACGATTTTCTGCTAATGTTTCTACTCTTTGGGGGCATTTGTGGGGCATTTTTCGTTTTTCGCCCACGATCCCCCCCCTGTAGGGGGACAGGCCCAACCTGAGCCCGGGCGTGGGCGCCTGCGGCCGGAAAAAGAAGCCTGCGCGATCGACAGCTTGCGATCGTTACTTGATCATCGTTTTGCCAATGGGCGCGGGCCCTGGCACTGGAGGAGCGAACAGTGACATAAACACAGTCACTCGGAGGTCCGCGCGGATTTCTCGCTCCGGCGCCGCCCCTGGCGCGCTCCGCGCGCCAGGGAGGGGGGTCCAGTGAGGACCCAAGAAATCCGCGGGGACCTCCGAGTTTTTATGTTTATGCCATTTTCTTTCCCCCAGGGCCCCCCCTGAAATAGTAGATCGTGGCTGTTCTCGGCGCCTGTTTCGAGCAGGTGGAGTCTCCCGCATGGGACGCACTGCTGCGAGCAGCGGCATTCAGCAGAGGTCTGGAATCTGACACCCCTCCGCTCCCCCTCTTTGCGCCCAGTGTCGACACGCCGAAGAAGAGAATATTCACTTGAGCGGCGCAGGACATTGGGGCTCCCAGACCTCCTCTCGTCGTGACAGAAAAGTCGCGACGGAAGGGTTCTCGCTATTTCGGCCTCCAGGGGCCCTTCCCGGCCCTCGGGACCCTCGGGACCTTCAGAAAATCGGGGGCCCCAAACGGAGTGGTGACCACACCGTGTGGTGAGTCGGTGGGGTTTCGGGGTCACTGCACGGTGTTTGGGACTCGAGGCCCTCTCCGAAGACGTCTGGGGCGATAGGGGCCTCCAGGGTCCCAAGACCGTGCGTTGACGGACCGTGCGGTGAATTCTTGGAGGATTTCGAGGTCACCGCACGGTCTGTCACCGCACCGTTTCGGGACTCCAGAGGAAAGGATTCGGGAGGAAATGCCGGTCCCGGGGAAGTGGGTCGACGTTATGAGCAAATCATGACGCCGCTGGAGGAGGAGGAGGAGGACGAGGAGGAGGAGGAGGACGAGGAGGAGGAGGGAGGAGGAGGAGGAGGAGGGAGGAGGAGGAGGAGGAGGAGGAGGGAGGAGGAGGAGGAGGGAGGAGGAGGAGGAGGAGGAGGAGGAGGAGGAGAGAGGAGGAGGAGGAGGAGGAGGAGAGGAGGAGGAAGGTGGAGGAGGAGGAGGAGGAGAAGGAGGAGGGGGTCTGTCTTGGTTCGTCTTCGCCACCATGGGCGCGGAAGCTGCCCGCCGAGGGCCGCGCGCAGGGCGCCCTCGTTTTCTCCGCTGCACGCGTGCTGCGCCGGCGGCCCGCGCAGGCCGGCGCGGAGTGTCGCCGCGTCATCGTTTCTCAAGGCCCGTTTGTTTCGGGGCCGGCGGTCGAAGAAAATGTTTTGAGAACCTTTTGCGGTTGCCACGAAATGTTCTCAGAACACTTTTGGCTGGGACTGTCTTGCTCGAGCACATCGGGCTGATGTTCTGAGAACAGTCCTTTTGTTATCAGAACATCGTTGGGTTCTAAGAACATGTCGTGGTAGGACGATAGAAATGCCGGGACGGTCGGTCCCTGCTCAACAGGGGCGGACAGACGCGCGGAGGCAGCCAGCGAAAACCGGAGTCAGCGCGCCCAGCAAGGACGCGCGCCTCCATCCAGGGTCTTGGCATCGCTCGGACGTGTGCATTTTTTCTCGGCGAGACCTAT